GTGAGAGGGTGAAGGGGCCAGATTGGAATTGGGCAATGCAGGCTAAAAGGCCAGGGGCCATAAATGTATTTCACCATGCTCAATGCCTCAGCAATTTTTAAATGTAATTTTAAGCTAGGTGATTTAGCTAATCCATGTTATTAGATAGTTCTTGAATATGAACTCTTTTTTTGCCGGAAAGTGGAAGAACATCAGCGAATGAGCTACACCACGCAGGTCAACAGCAAATTCATATCTTGATGTTGGTACAACTACAACCATGACCAGTCTTTGAGAAAAGACTGCCTGCAGTTAGTCAGTGTTGAAATGTTTTCTGGGATACAGCCGGACTTACATCTCACCCTACAATTAAATTTTTTCTGGTAAATCCACAGCTTTGTATTCAGAATTTGGGAGAGAGACTTTTTTTCCCACAATCAATTGTTAATTTTCAACAAATACCTAATCTTTATTTATTGTTTTCTCAACAATCAGATTTAGAATATTCACTGACAAAATAGTCATTAACCTTGAAACCTCAATCCTTCACAAATTTTCCCGAGGGGTCAGTTTGTTTTTCATCAAAACTAGATGAAGCAGCTGATGGAGTGGATACAATACCCTAACTACCTGCTTGAAGTCATAAGAATTAATAAGAGGCTATAAAATCATATCTTCATCATCCATCACTGACACGAAACCATCTCCTCTCTGCAGTGAAGGAAGGAAACGGTCCACTGAGGTTTTTGTAAAAAGGCCATCTCTCCGTCTTAAAGCAGAAAGAAGGATAGCATCTCTCCACAGCTGAATTAAATCGCAAGCTGTGAGCTTGACAAGAATAACACACACTCCCATGTGTGTTTTCCAATTTGCCACCCAACACAGGTTCGTCCTTATCGACGTCTGAGGAGGAGAATATGAGGCTCACGCTTCAGCCACTTCAGTCTGTATTTCTTTCAGGGGTCACATGGGTTCTGGCGTTACAGCCACTCCTGTCACTGTTACTGTAGCAACCTTTGGCACGATGGCCTTCTATGAAATGAAGCTAAAGATTCACCCTGAGCCAGAGATCAAGAAAATATTCTCTTCGTGAGCATGCACTGTGACCATGGAGCTCCGATACAAGACTGAACTTATTTCATCATCAGACAGCAAAGAATACCACGGGTGTCTAAATATAACTTGTGAAAAAGAGGAGGGAAAAAAATCTCTCTTTTTCTACAATGCACTCTGTCTCCACTCTCCTCCATGCTTTGAAGATTTCTACAAGCGAATGATCACAGGATCTTTTTTGGTGAATTATGCACATTATCATTCCACGCTTTCTCATCAGAGCTGTGGTGCAATGCATCAAAGTGGCTGGCAGGTGATGGCAGAGAGGATTTGGCTTGCTGTACTGTGTTTGTGAGTCCTGCAAATCCAAGAATTTTAATTTGTTTGTATGTTTTGACTTAGTGTGATTTTTGTGCATTACTGGCTATGCACAGAACGAGCAAAGGTTGTCAAAAGTCCCTTACCCTGTCACTGGTGAATGTATGTGTCCTGACCCCAGCAAACCACTAGAGGGCAATCAGTGTGTGAAACAACCACTCAGCAGTTCCAGCATGTGAGTATCAGAGGTAATGACAAGCTTCACATGTTTGTTTGTTTTGTTTTCTTCTATATTATATCCCAAAAGTGCAGAAACAAGACAATTAAGGTTGCAGTTTAAGATCTATGTTATGCGCTACGGTGTGGTTTCAGCACCAATTTGAGATGAAGGTTGCATCTGCTTATGTTGCTGCAATATAGCAAAACACAAGATAAATGGCTTTATTAACTCATAGGCTGTGATGCACCGTGATGTAAGGTGTAGTTAATCTAAAAGATGTGCACACTGCAGCAGCCTGCACACATCGGAGGCAATACTGTTCTCCTATTGAGGAGAGGGGGGTTTCGCTTACCCTGGATCATAAACCATTAATTATTGCATTTATTTGACATTTATATGACAGGATTAATTTTAAAATGAGTACTGGTTTAATTTATTTGTTTGATTAGCAAGCATTATTTTTTTATTGTAGGAAGGTACTTTATTTGATTCACTGTTAAAAATAATAATTATCTTACACTGGGGCTCGGTGTCTGAAACATTTCCTAGTTCCCCTCCAACTGTCTTTTGATTGAGTGCCCATGCAGAGTGGAGGTTTGAACAGCAGTTGGGTGGAGCATCTGCACTCACAACCAAAGCACCGTGCCTTAGACGACCATATTAGGGACATCCTGTCTCTAGTGTATTAAAAAAATGTTTTGAGAAGGTTGAAGCTCGAGTTTTTGGCTCAGAGATTACTTCACATACACCATCTGAAACTATAGTCATGTCTAATATGAGCAAATAAAGTAAAGGCAGAATAACCACTTTAACTCCAGGTGATGTAAAAATATAAATGTACTCTTTTGGTCATTTCTCACATACAGTGCAACAAGTAAAACTGAAAAAAAACAACTTTTACAATTAAAAACAAAATTTTTTTAATTTTTCAGATTTCGTTACTCTTTACAACTGCACTCAGCTGACCTTTTTTGCTATTACTGCTTGACCTTCTGATTGCATTTTCAATACATCCCTTAGGCCATAAAGTGCAATACTGATAAGCTGGCTGCCAGCGGAGCTCACGGGCGCGTCACTGCAACCCCCCCTGGCTTCTGCTCTGCGGCTGCTGAGTGAGCCCTCATCTGGGACTCTCCTCAGCTCTTTCCGGGACAGTGGCGCGGCTGCCCCTCTGTTGGTCTTCCTTGGTCTCTTGTCTTCTGAGGGCCTCTGGATGTCTGGAGTTTTGATCTTCTCCATACCTGCTTCATGCCCTGGAGGACGGGGCTGTGGCCCCCCCACACCCTCTAGCAGATCATTACATGAAGGAACCTTTTAAAAACAAGCGTGTCCATGCTCACAGGTGTACACACGGGTGCTCACACCCACAAACTACACCCTTTTTGGCTCCTACCTCAAAGCACACTGTGCGCTGTCGATCTTACGTGCTGCACAATAATGTTTAATATTTAGTATTTACAGTTATATTCCCATATATCATCGTGATGTTGTTTATTCTATTACTCTCGTTTTCTTCTGCTGGTTTTCATTTTTCATTCTCAACCAGGTGAAATTAAAAAAGTATCTACTGTTATCTATTGTTAGCTAGTTTATTGTGATGGTGTCGTTTTTATTATGTTGCTCTTTGTTGTTTGTTTTCTCTTCTGTTTTTTTTCTCCATACAGGTGATCCAGGTGTTTTGTTTGTTTTTATTTTTTTTTCTTCCCCCCTTTCTCACCATCTCCTCTCCCCTCTATTTTTCTTTCTCTCTGTCCTATTTCCCAGTCATGTCTGTCCCATCTTTAAAAAATGAAAAATAAAATAAATACATAATTATAATAAAGGTTAATCAAATGGACCAATATGGCAAGGCCATGGTGATCCACTTGGTAAAGTAGATCCACTTGGCATCTTTCTTGGCCTTCAGACAACAATTCTGATGGTTAAAGATCCAAACGGGACGGGCAAAAAAAAAAATACTGACAAGCTGAGAAGTCACACTGTTACACAAGTTATCCATCCACTGTAGCAGTGTGACCTGCTACAGTGAGCAGCAGTTGGCTTGGCTGCTCTTGACATGACTGTTCTTCCACGTTCATATATGGTAATGCTTGGATGAGGAGGCCCAACCAAGTGGTGCATGGCATCCAGAATAGCAATTTACCAACCAAAGGTCAGGAGTGTGGGGTATTGAAGAAGGTTAGGAAAAAATGCACCAGCAGCAGCTGCATGTGCATGTGATTGGCTGCAGAGCTTCAGGGGGGGATGAGGGCTTTATATATAACAATGGTAATTTCATTGCTATTTGAGACACTGCAGTTACAGTACCAACAGCGTTCCCCTTTCGTGCCCTTTCTCCAGAGACGATAATTCAGCATTTTGAAAAGATCTCTTTTCTTAATAGATTCTGGTTTTCTTCTAATGAGCTCTCTTCCCTCTAACACCTGTACTCGTGCCGGAAGATTCCTCTTAGAAGGAATATTCTAATGCTGAAGACAGCATAATGTCTATATTATAGCCCACCTTTAATAAAGTCTAATGTAGCATTAAAAAGCAAAGCAGCTGTGCACTAAAATGTGTAGCTCATAATACAAAGACCTGTGTTTTAACACAGGTTAATGCTGGCAACTCCATTGCAGATATCAGTTTAATGTTTGGCTTCTGGAGCAATATTGCTTTTAAAGTTAGTGAATGTTACAAGATTAATGCCATTTAAGAGTACTTTTATCATGAGTAAACACCCCCTTTACAATTATCTTGCACATATTACGTCTGAGAACATTTACTTCTGAGTGTACTCTGCATCATTAAGTACTGAATGAGCTCATATTGGTAGCATCTTGATCACACAACCAGCGTCAAGCTTGCCAATTCCCCTCTTCTCGGGGTCTTGTAACTATCTGGCAAATAATATACCTTACTGTGTAATAAAACTAGCATATTGTCTAAGAGGTCTTTGTGACTTAAAAAATATATAATTTTACTATAATGGATGGATGGACAATCAGCCGTACAATCTATGGTGGATCCTGCTGGCAACGCTGATAAGTTAGCCAGGAAGTTATTTTGTAATTTTTTGGTAAAAACAAAACAAGATGATGATACCACACCATTAATTTTAATTGAATTCACTGTTTTATTGAAGCGAACAGCATATCCTGAGGGTAGACTGCAATCAGACTAACCCCTGGGATCGCACAGAGGTGGACTGATGTAGAAGCTTCCGCTTTTACCTGAATAAACATGCAGTTATGCAGTGACGTGGGTTTGCACCTGTGTGAAGGAGCAGCGACGCTCTACCTGTTGATTAGACCCACGTGCAAAACCAAAACTTGGTGTGTGTGTGTGTGACTGTGTGAGAGTGAGTGTGAGCGAGACAGCTGAGCGCAGGCGGAGCGCTTAGCCGCCGGCCGTGAAGGGGTTAAAGAGTTTTCAGTGTGCGGAGCGGCAGGCTGGAGGTTAGAGTGTTGCGGTGCAGAGCTCGTGGACGCGTCGGCAGTAGCGGCGTACAGCAGCGCACCGAGCGCGGTCAACTTCGCCACTACTGCACAATAAACACGCCATGTCGGAGCGAAGGAGACTCTGTGGATCTGACTGCGCGCGGTCCTACTACTAGCGAGCGTGTGTGCGCGCGCGTGTGAGAGGGAGAGAGAGAGAGAGAGAGGAGTGAAAGAGAGAGACAAGGAGAGGGCTGCTCTTTTGCTTTCTGTGGATATCGCCTTCATGGACGGGCAACGGGGCTTTTACGAGATGGAGAACCCGGCAGAGAACCCCAGCAAGGCGGCGGAGTATCTGAAGGAGCTGAATAAGATCATCGAGACCCAGCAGGGGCTGCTGGAGAAGCAGAGGGTCCGGATTGAGGAGCTGGAGCTCCAGGTGACGGATCTTTGCAAGGAAAACGTCTGTCTAAAAGATCAGCACCAACGGCACCTGGCCACCTGCAGGCTCCAACAGGGCAACCACTCCGCCCTGGGAGCCATCAAAGAGAATGTCATGCAGGAAAAGTAAGTTATCTGGCATTGGGTGGTGCTTGGTTTGGCTGAATAGGATGCTGTCAAAGTTTATTTTCCTCATCTTGTTATTCGCTCCGCAGCTGGAGAGATATGTTGTGTGTCTGTTTCATCTCAACAACCAAACCAAATTCCCAGTTCTTCGCCACTTTGTCACGGATCAGCTCTTTAATTGTCCGTGTAACGTGCACACTGTCAGGGATTATTTCAGGCTTACACAAGGCTGTGCGAGCTGTGCACGCGTATTGCGTAATGGATCCCGTCAGGCGCATCGCTCAATAGATATGCAACCCCATGAAAATGATATTGTGTGGAGCTCAAACTGTATCGGATCATGGTGGTCGAAGTCTGAATCAGTGGGTGTGACTTTGTATTTTCGCAGGAGAGAAAAGCGCGACCCGTCTGTAGTTGCGTTGTGAGGAAACAAGTTTACGCATCCTTTGCTTAGTTAAGAGTTCAACCCCAGGCGAGTGGTCAGATGCTGTGTGTCATACATTTCCTGTGCCAGGAGCTCTCAGTGAGATGAGGAATTAATGTATGCAAACACCTTCAATTTGACTTGGACTCCTCACCAAAGTGGAGGGCTTTTACAATTGGAAAAGACGTAGTTGTGTTGGAGAGCAGCTGAGTGCCACTATCAGGAGAGAAATGTTCAATCAAAGCTGCCTAAACATGCTGGGTTAACTGCTTAGCAGATGGAAGTACAAAATCAGGCTGTGATACTCTTGTGGTATTGCATCTAAACAAGGATTCCCCATGGATTTATTGTGCACTGTGTTACTGACAAAAACAAGCAGCTTTACACATTCAGGACACTGCTCCCTGCTGATGAGATTACTTATTTGTACTTTTTCATTATGTTTGAATATGATGGACATATAAATTAAAAAAAAAGTATTAATTAATTCTCACTCAAAAATATATATCATTTCACACACTTTGAGACACTTATCTCAAATTGGACACGGAAAGGAAATGTCTGAGAAAGCAGGTCCATCCAGGACTACTGCAGAGTGCTCAAGCTGCTCGCTTTCAGAAATGTTGCACTGTCGATTAATTTTCCATGAATCTATGCAATCAATACATGAAATGCAAAGTTAACATGAGACATTGATCACCAATATAGCAATGTTACAGTCTACTTGTTCATGTACTTCATGGGCCATATGCATCCTTGTTTGATTTCACAGTTTGAGCAGTTACCCTACGCAGGTTCCTTATCAGTTCTCTTATCAGTTCTCAATTCTTTAGTATTTAGGTATGAGCACAAAGCAGCAGTACAAAATAAAAATAATAAGCAGCACACGCAGACTTCAAAGTGGTCACCACAGAGATCGTGCTATAGACAGTTGAACAGGCGGAAACAGAGGATGCAAACTGACTGCTCATCAGTTGAAGTTCATCTACCTGTTGAAGTTCAGGCTGCTGGGCTGGGGTCAGCACTCACTCAGCTTCATCATCAACCTGGATTCTTGGTTAGCTTAGCCTTAGCATGCTTTGTGTGCAGACCCTTGCAAAGAGCTGAAGTTTTGTTAGCAGCATAATGCGTTTGTTTCTGTTCTGTACGCAGTTTGCACTTCACCATCGCACTCTCATCCTTTTGTGCAATAAAATTAAAAGCAATATCCCTAACCACGCTGTAGACTGTGCCACTATTTTCCTCCTCCAGCAAACAAACTGAAATCGTGATTGTAGTGCAAGTGCAATTGGAACCAATAAGCACAATTCATAGGCAAGCAGCTGTGTTTGATTAACAATGAAAATATGGAGCCAAGGAGGTTCCTTCCTGTCGAAAGGGACTTTTTCCTTCCTACCATTGCCAAACTGAAGTGACATGGAATACAACACAGTTACACAAACATGTTCATTCAGACCTTGTGAAATAAAAGTTGGTAGCCTTCAATTGGGCAGTAACCACTTCATGGGCATTCTTTGCATAAACTTTTAATGAAAAAGACCATTTGGATTTATTTTGTGATTCTTTCAAGTTGCTTGCACATTACTTGAAACACTTGCTATCATCAAGTGAGTTAGCTTTTTCAATATCCCTTCTGTCACAAACCCGCTCACTGTTATGAACGAAGCTTTGACGGAGACGTTTGACTTCCAGGAGATATAAGATACACAGCATACAGCCCTGCATTAAAGGATTTCTTTCTGGAGTCATCTGAAAATTTGTTTTGTGGTGAATTGCTTGAACTATAAAGTGTGAAAACATAAAACAGAGAATAGCAGAAAGTGATAAATGACTACAGCAATTATTTTATTATCAAAGCTGCTGGGAACTGACTAAATACAGTTGCATTTAAAAATATAATACTGTATGGAGGGTATGATCTCTGTTTAAAGCCTGTCCAGTGAATGAAACACCTTGAAGTTATCTTTTGAAGTTTAAGCACTAAACTTTAAGAACAATTTGAAAGCGAAGCAGCTGAAGCTGCAATATTCTGACATGTTTTGTGATTGTCAGCCAAAATATCTACTGGCTTTGTAAAATAAGGCAGTTTTGTCAGATGCTGTCTGCATCGATTACATTTGTCATTTTTACATTACATTTGCCTTTAATGTACAAGCTGCCGGACTGCTGACCACAAAGAGAAAATCGGACCTGTGCATTAAAATGGGCTTTGTCACAGTTTCTATGGATAATTTCTCCTCTTTTCTTTCAGTGGTGGTTTGACTGCTCCTTGCAAATTATGGAAATCTACTCACTGTTAATTTGGATTTGTGGTGTTAGTTTGAAATAACTTCTACCATCCGGCAACTGTTCCGACTGACTTAGGAACATTTTGAAATGTTTTTAAGGGTATAAATTTAGACTCATTTCGTAAATACATTGTCCTGACTTTTTGGACTTTTATATTGCACATAGACAACATAAAAAATGAATGTTGTTACCGTGACTTCACTCGCTGGGTAGTGACGGCTGGGTTTGAAGCCTCGAGATGAGCCTTTTTGCTGCTGTGAAAGTATTGATGACGTTGCCTGAGGGGATATTAGATACGATGTGATAAAATCTCTGATTACAGTGCTGTCATGGTTTCCTTCACGTCCTACATCCTCCTATGTGCTTTTAATGTAAATGTGAAACTACAGCATCTCCAGTGGTGAATGATCAGCTCTACAGTCTAATGGCTCGTTTAATGATCCCTGCACAAGTTCAGACACCAACAGCAGCTACTGCTCAAAATGCTGCCTTCACAAAAAGTAGTTCTGCTCAGAAAAGCTGCTTCTGCTGCAATAACCTGGCTGTTTATGTGTGCAGTGCGTGATGCAATAAAGCCCTTTTTCACCTATGACATCATTATCATATTTACTTGCTTACCACTTGTATGGGACTATAAATAGCTCTTGGTGCGACACAGATGATGGCAGCTCGTTTCACCTCCTGGGATTTTCCGTCCTATTATGGCTTTTTAGTTTCCAAGTGGGGAAGATATGTCTCTGAATTCTCCCGAAATTTTGTAAAACTGTATTACATAAGAGTTTGGTCAAAATCACTTCTTTTATGCACAAACACACACAGCTGACAGGGAGTCCTGTCCCCTGTGTTCTGTCCACAGTTGGGCCACGTCAGCTGTTCTTTTTGTGCTGACCACAGTCAGCATATAGTCCTGGCCTTGACTGGAGGACCAATGGGAGAGCTCTGTTCCTCGTGGGCCCTCTGACAGACGTCTACACACAAACACACAGACACGGAGTGCATAATGTTAGTTTGTCACCACACAGTCACCCTGTTACTCCGGGTAGTCAGTGAAGTAAGAGCTGCTTCAGAGTCTGTTTGTGTTTTGCTACAGTGGGATCTTGTTATTCTCAACTTTACTCCCTATGAGCTAATCCTCTGTGGAAGGGCTGCTTTCCCCTGTTTACGCTTAAATGTTTAAAGTTTACATAGGACACAAGGTCACCCAGCTCTTATCAAGGTCACGTGTGATGTGTTGTGGGATCTGGAACAGAAGTGTGTAGAAGATTCTTTTGACATTACAGTTTTCATGTCCATTGCTAAGTTTTTGAGAAGGATCAGTGATATAAAGAACAATATATAATGTTTCTAGGCAGGGTCATTTTACCTTTGGAGGTGTTCAAGATACTTTTGGAT